GTAAAAGCACACAATTATTGACTATATAAATGTCCCCCAGAGTGAATACCCCTGAAATCATTTAAGAACCGGTATATAAAGCTCAGTTTCATCATTAACTCTTGAATTTTTCTTGTAAATATGATCTTGTAGTTCCTCAACACAGATCAGTCTTTCCAAATGTGAAGAGTATAAAATATTAATATAACTGAATATTTAAATCTTAGTCCCTACTATTAATACTATACTCGTAAAGAACACTTACTGTCTTGTTTAAGATATTTTCACATTAAACTGCTTAATATTTATGGATATTTATTTCCATATCAATCTAGTGCATACCCATTGGCTGATTAGTCTAGGAAACAGTAGCTATAGTGTTACTGGCTAGTAAGTTTTATCCTGTCAACTATACTACTGTATTATTTATTAAACAATTACTAAATTGCTTGTAGAAAGATAGTATCTTTAAGAGCAGCAAGGAAGTAATACATGAAAATAGTGTAGATTCTGTATGACCAGTTTGACACAACTAGTCCAGCACTCAGTCTTTTTTCATCCGATTTAATAATACAAACTTGCTTTTTTTTATAGCTCTTAGAATCATCTTAGGGTCAATCACTTGTCTGAATTCTAAAGGGTATAGTTATCCAAATTCCTGAGCATGTTGAGCCGCTGGGAATGTTTATTACATAGTTTAATAATGTCATGGATATCAAGTAACTGAAGTACAAATGTGAGAGAAGTGGGAAACGTGTAGTACATATTTGTGTACATTATCCCCTGTTTCAGGTTGGATGCAAATAAAAGTAGTACTCAGATGCAGAGGTAGCTCCAGTATCAGATTGAATAGAAAAGAATGGACAACTTTGGGACCTTCAAGTGAGAAGCCAGTATTTTGCTAAGGATTTTAGGTGTTAGGCTATAATTGGACCATATCAGTCTGTCTTACTAGCTTGTACACTAACTTCACCCCAAGGTGGGAGGGAATTCAGTTTTGGCAGTATTTTAAATGATTGGAGAAGTCAATGCATGGATGCAAATATAAATATTCTGAAATCAGACTACTCATCATTGGTAAGCAAGTTTTTTTTTTTTCCTTTTCTCCTTTTACCTTAATTTCTTTAGTCTCCTCTCATATTTATGGTACATGGCATAAGATGTTAACTTTGAAACCAACTTGTTGTCACTTGTTGTACAAAAGAGTGTTTCCACCTTTCTTCATAATTTGCTTTAATCAGTATTTCTACTCTATGAAGTATGAATTGACTTATTAAATCTGTCACATTCATCAGTGGCAACATATTTGCACAGTCCTCAGTGAAATAAACAACCTAATGGAAAAATGGAGCAAAGACCTGCAAAACTTGAAGAAAAATACAATATGCAAAAACTCAGTAAATCAACTTTTAAGTTCAAGATTAAAATCAAATCAACAGAACACATTTATATACCAGTCTGTTTACAAAGTCACCTTGACTGCTCATACCATGGTTTGAAGAATTGGGCTAACTGTTGAAAATGAGAACTAATATCCTTTTTGTACCAATTTATGTAATAACATATCTTTCTTCCAAGATCTTAATTTGTCCTTAAATGTGGATGCAGTTTATAAAGAATTCATACTGATAGCAATTTTGGCCAAGAAAATTAATTCTCCAGAAATTTAAATCTTTGTGGACTTTTAGTATTTTGTACTATTATTGGAAATAATAGTATTGCCCATCTAGAAAAAAATCACTTTAGAAATTTAAAATATTACAATATTTTAAATTGGTCCTTCTGTTATGCATTCCATTGGAGGATCTCAAAGCAATTAGGTCCTACCTCAAGCCCTCGTCAAGTGTCTTCTACTTATTAATAAAAAAATAAATCTATAACAGTACAAATACTCATTTTTATTATTTTTAATATCTTAACAGCAAGAAAATGTAGAGTTTATTACAGGATTGACTTTTGAAGTGCTTTTGGCATTTTGCTGAAAACTGGCAATCGTATTGCAGAGTAAGTAGGTTTTCCTGAAACTGTCATTATCTTTAACCTTCGTAGATGGTCTTTCTTCTGCTGATCCCAGCTCTGATTGGAATGCACCAGCAGAAGAGTGGGGGAACTGGGTAGATGAAGAAAAGGCTTCTTCTATTCCACAGCCTGAGGAACCATTATCTGATGTTCAGAAGGTAGATAACCTAACTTACTGCATACTAAATTCCCTACCTTATCCTTTACTACCTTCTTTGGATTATAGTAGTGCATGGTAGCAATAAACAGGCAATTTAATTCCCACATTACATTGACTTTTCATTGAATATGTATAGTGGTGCCGTTATTGTTACAAACATAAAAGCACAACAATCAAGAAGGAAAACATTTAATGTTTCACTCCCCATTGCCCAAATTAGGATTGGTATGGGGCAGCAATTCCTTGAAATGAACATTTTCTCAGTGCTTGCATTTTGCTCTGCAGCCCTCCCCTACAATTGCAGGTGGATGACATCTTTTCAAAGTATCTTTAATATAGCTTATCGTAGCACTGGCTCTACCACTATACTCTGGAGTAATTTACAAAGGAAGGGATAGAAGTAGAGTGCTCACTGTAGACTAAAAATGTCGAGCTATTGCACTAGTATTGAGAGGAAAGCTCATCGTGCCTACCGTGACTTTGGTATTTTGATTATGCAAAGCAAATATGTCATTATCTTGGCCATTTGCCATTCAAGTTGCTGTTGATAGTGTTTGCTAAATAGCATGAAAAGAATGTTTTCTATTACCAAAATACTCTTAATTTTACCAGTTCAATCTATCTGGCCATTTGCAGCTTTGAGAATTTAAGTACAAAGGATTGACATGCATACCATCTTTAGAAGGTCAGCGAAAAGCAGTGAGAAATTATACTTTCTTTTGGACTCAGTCTTGTACTTCTAATACTCAGGCTTCAGATGATGAGAGAGAAAAAGCAGAGCCAACTCTCCAGAGCTGTACTAGTGGCAAATCCAAGAAGAAGAAGAAGAAGAAAAAGAAGCAAGGTGAAGAAGCTAGCTCTCCTGCACAGGTACAATAAAATAAGAACATGTATTACTGATCTCTCTAGGGCAAAATCCTTGATTAATTTTAAAAGATGCACTTGATTTTTTTCAATACTTTTGAGTTATATTCTGTTTCTGCTTGTCAAGAATTAACATGATTCTTCGAATACTTGATTGATTAGTGCCAGTTCTAAATAGCTGCCTGACTCTTTTGGTGAACATAATTCAAAAAATTGAATCATGTTCATCAGATTAATTCAACATCAAATATTTAATTGTTGATCAACAGAAAAACCATGAAACATGAGGGAAAATTTTGGGTGTTCTTCCCAAACCAGTTCAGTTTCACTTATCCTGAACTATTTATCATCCTCAGTAAAATAAAGTTTCTGATCTTCACTAAGGGTGCACCTAGCAACCATTGTTTTCCTCCGCAGCGGGTGTCCTGTCTTTCAGAAGAGACTGCTTGACCATTGTATTACATAGGGGAATAACTCACAGACTTTAAGGCCAGAAGGAACCATCATAATCATCTACTCTGACCTCTGGTATATTTCATGCCACAGAATCCTACTTACCCATTCCTGTAATAAGACCATTTTCTCTGGCTGAGTTACTGAAGTCCTTGAAACTTGACTTAAAGACTTCAAATTACAGAGAATCCACAATTTACTCTAGTTCAGACCAGTAACTAACCCATGCTGCAGAGGAAGGCAAAAAATTCGCCAGGGTCTCTGCCAGTCTGACGGGAAAAATTTCTTCCTGATCCTAAACATGGCAGTCAGACCCTGAGCATGTGGGCTAGACCCAGCAGCCAGACACCTAGTAAAGAATTCTCTGTAGTAACTCAGAGCACTTCCCCATCGTATCTCCAATGGCTGAAGATAGGACACATTTCCTAAGAGCAGTTGTGGATAGGCCATATGTGATTATAGGCCACCTCATCATGCAGTCCCCACTGTAAAGCTAAGTCTTGAAACAAGTTAGGCTTTTTGCCCCCACTACTTCCTTTGTAAGGCTGTTTCAGAGCTCCAGTCTTCTAATGGTTAGAACATTTGTCTGATTTCAAACCTAAACTTTTTCCTTTGGATTGAGCAAATTTGAGTATGTATTAATGCGTCAGTGATAGATTGTATTTCAGAATGTTTCAGTGAATTGTTCCACTTTGAATTCATCTTTCTGAAACATGGTACAACAGAATTGCACACACTACTCCAGATGAGGTAATAACACTTCCCTATCTCTAGTGGAAATACCTCTCCTGATGCATCCTAGATTGCAGTAGCCTTTTTCACTGCTGCATTGCACTGGAGGCTCATAATCATCCTGTGGTCAACCGGTACACCCATGTCTTCTTTCTCCTCTGTTGCTTCCAACTGATATGTCCCCAATTTATAGCAAAAAATTTTGTTCATCCCTAAGTGTATGAGCTTGCACTTTGCACTATTAAGTTTCATTTTACTCCATTTCTATTACTCCAGTTTTTAAGGTCATCCAGGTCTTCCTGTATGATATGCCAGTCTTCTTTCATATTGGCAGTACTTCCCAACTTTGTGTCATCTGCAAATTTTATTAGCACGCTCCCACTCTTTGTGCCAAGGTCATTAATGAAAATGTTAAATAAGATTGTCCCAAGACTGATCCCCGAGGAACTCCACTAGTAGTCTTCATCCAGCCTGGTAATTCACCTTTCAGCTTGACCCATGGTAGTCTCCCCTCTAGACAGTTTGTTACCCACTTTTCTGTTCTCATTAATTGCCATCATCCCAATTTAACTACTAATTTCCCATGTGGAACTGTATAAAATGCTTTACTGAAATCCAGGTAGATTAAATCTACTGCATTTTCTTTGTCTAGAAAATTGGTTATTTTCTCAAAGAAAGAGATCAGGTTGGTTTAGCATGATCTACTTTTTATAAAACCATTTCGTATTTTATCCCAGTTACCATTTATCTCAGTCTTTACTCTCTCTTTCAAAATTTGTTCTAAGACCTTACAAACATCTGTCGGGGATGGTCTAGATAATACTTAGTCCTGACATGAGTGCAGGGGACTGGACTGGATGACCTCTCGAGGTCTCTTCCTATGATTCTATGACACAGTTGAGGTCAAACTAATGGGCCTGTCATTTCCCAGATCATTTTTATTCCTTTCTTAAATATAGGTACAATATGAGTGAGCTGGAAGTTCTTTTGGCAGACTGTCTTATACCATATACCCTATCTAAACTCTTACCTAAGATCGTGATTTAGCTTGATTTTTGTATGAAATTCTAAGTCTCCAGGAATCATAAGTTCCTAGGAGAAGCTATGCTCGATCTCAGCAAGCTAGGTCTAAACAAGATGTTAGTTACTACCTGAGCCGGAGTAAGAGTTCCTTAGTCACCTCAGTAGTTTATAGTATTTGCAAAGATAGCACAAGAGTTTCACCTCTATCTAGTGCTACTAGTGTTCCTGGACAGAGTGAGCTCATTCTACTGGGAGAGTAACTACTTTAGCTGCTTGTGCTCAAATGTGTATCAAATGCAGGACTGCCTTTCACAGTTCAGTTTAGACTTTTTACAAATCATTATTGTCTCAAATCTGGAGTCATACTGGATGTTTTTGGGGGGAAAACAGTCCTTCGGTGTGTGTTTGGGGGGGTTTATTTTGTTTTTGTTTTGTTTTTTTAATTGATCTTACTCCTTGGGACTGGCACTACTTGCCAGTCACTTACAGTGAGACTCTGCAGAGGCAGTTTCATAAAGAGAGATTTAACCAGTAACTGGGATTTGTAACTAATGCCTTTGGAGAGAGGGAGAGGCACTGTAGATTTGCAGTATCTATCTTACGGTAAAGAAGAAATGAGGGTTCTAAAGGAGCAGAGTTTCTAAAACCACAGCTTGGAATGCTCAAATTCCACACTCGGTGTTTGTGGGTTTGTGTCTCTTCTGTATAATGGCCTGTGGCTTGCAAGAAACAACTCCTCCAACAGGGACCTGCAGAGGCAATATATTCTGAATTCCAGGTACTATAGTTGCATGTAACCTACCTGTCAATTATCCTGTCAAATTGATTCCTATCCAAGGAATCAAGTGCTAGCTACACTCTAATATCTCTAATTTCATTTAATTTTGCATCTCCAAATATGTTTCATAAAGTTCTTGTTTAATACTTTTAGTTCTGATTCTCAGTTTAAGAAAGCTACCTTTTTTGGATTAGTATATCAGCCTAAATGTACAAAAGGTGAGAATAACTTCCTTCCATCCACAGAGCTTATAAACGGTATTAAAAAACCTAAATTGTTTAAATCTCTTGCTTGATGGGTGCATATAGAACTGTCAATATGAGAGCCCGTTGTAAGGTTAGACTGCTATTACAGTAGGACAAACTAGTTTACAGTTTAAATCCAGAACACTAAAGTAGGTCTGACAGTGATTTTTCTCATCTGAAAAGTGATTGTGTACAGATGGGAACTTCTTATTCAGTGGCTATACTTCCAGTGTGGTTAGTCATATCTGCTGATTTGAGTGACCAAAAGTAAGTCCTTTTTTTTAACTGCCTTTGACGTCTGTTAACTAAAAATGAGTGAGCTGAATTCTATACCTCCTCGTTCACCAACAGAATTGTTACCATCTGATTGGTTCCATCTGTGCAAGCAGAAGGGAGTGTGTGGAGAAGGGATGGTCCAGTGTTTAGGGCATAGCTTTGGTCTTGGGACACTTGGGTTCAATTTCCTGCTCTGCCACAGACTTTGTGTGACCTGGGGCAAGTCACCAGGCCTCTGTGCCTCAGTTCCCCCATCTGTAAAATGGGGATAAAAGTACTTTCTTAATTTACAGAGGTGATGTGAGGATAAATACACAAAGATTATGAGGTGCTCAGATACCGTGATGGTTGGGGCTATATAAACACCTAAAATAGAATAGAAAGATTTCTCTCTAGACCTAATTTGAAGACAGTAGAGTTGCATATACATCACTGAGGGCTTAGCTTTTTCTGCAAAATCTTCATTAATAGTGTTGACGTATGAAATAAGCTGAGTTCAGGTTTAGTCTGCAGGGCTCATGGTTAGAAACGTCTTTTTACTTGTAAACTGAGCATGGAATTAACAAATATCAAACCCCAAATGACATTTTTACACAATCGCTTTTCAGAGTAGAACTTCACTTTGAATTTCACACACACTTACATTTTACATATTCACACACACTTTGTACATACATTTGAAGTGCTTCATAATTTAAAACACTTAATTATTTTGTTTGTGATAAGTAATTGACTTGTATAGGTTATTGCCTTCAGGACATCACTGATTTCTTACCTCAATAGATATTTTCGTGCTACATTCTAGAAACTATTTGTAATAGTCCTGGCCTGTACTGCATGTCCAGTTATATTAATCTAATACTTTCTTTACATGTTTACTTCTCTTAACGTCATTCATGCAACCTAGTTGAGTTAGTATCACAACAGAACCAAGACTTAACAGGAAAAGGATAAATGGAATTCTTCTGCAGCTGTTGGCTCATTCCCTTCTTTTTTCTGTAGGATGCTGAAGACCTGGATAGAGAGGCTGGAGAGGAATTTCAGGAGGATACTGCAAAAGCTCAACCACAACAGGAAATAGCTTTTTCTTTGAAGACCATAAGCACTAGTGAACCAGCTGAGGTATGAATTTAAAAAAAAAAAAAGTTTTAGTTCCTATTTTGAAATACTCAAGATGAAAAACTGCATTGAAACATTTTGTTGACTTGTCTGCATCCTTAACATTACCATCACTTCAGGCTATGTGCTTTCAAATATGAAATAGGCGTGGAACGTTGATTAGGTGCACTTCTCCCTCCTTAATTTAAAGGACACGTCTGCTGACTCAGTAGACCTTTACCCTGTGTTTACTGTTCAAGTAAGCAAATATAACTGAATAAAGTATGCTTGCATTAACCTGGGGGTTTACAAAGTAATAAATCAGACCTCATATAAGAATGGGAGTGAGACCTGGATTATATTGTATTCTGGCATCCACATTAACAATTGTTAAATTTCAGTTACAAAATCTTTATTATTCTGGCTCTCTCAGTGAGCTATGTTGGCCCTTCAGATTCCAGTGTTGGTAGATAGAAAAAAACATCTTTAGACTAGTAAACCGAGCGGATTTGATGTGGGGAAGTAACTGAAACAAATAAGGTTCATTTTTGAAATCTGTACTTTCAGGGAATTTAATCTTGTATCTATTACATAATCAGTCTTAAAATGCGCTCCCATCTCAAGAATTGAAAAATTGAAGGAAAATTGCATGTGGAAGTTGCATGTAACAGGTGTGAAAAGAACTGTTTGTCATCTAAGTCTGTAAGTGCTCTGGCAGCCAGTTTCATCTCTCCGAAACAGCAAGAGATCTTTTGGTTGTGGGGGAAGAGAGGAGAAAGGAGGCAGACTTCTCTCTTCCCCCTCCCCCCTCTTTCTTTCTCCAAGCAGCAGGATCTTTAGATATTGTCACTGAATGATACTCATTCTCCAGAACAGGATCTCTGTGTCTGATAGTAGGCTGGAATCATGTTCAGTGTAGATGGCATTTATATATAAATTGAAAACATATGGCATACTTTACAAAATTTTGTTACACATAAATGAAATATTATTTAAAAGTTAAGTAGTCCACTAAAACTATGTAGTACTGTTGGTTTTGTCAATTTCTGTGGGTAAAAGATTCTTGTAGCTATGTAATGGCTAAAACTAAAAGTCACTGAGACTGCTGTTTGGGTGGTACAATTTCTTCTGATGGGTATATGATGTTTAACTTAGGTTTCAACTATGGCATGTAAAATTAGAATTTTTTTGAAACATTCCTCTAACAAATACAAAACATCATCGATTTACCACAGATAACAAGGTCTAAATGTCAAATAGTTATTTATTAGAATAACTTTGTAGCAAAGATCACAGATCGCCCAAAGGAAACAGATATAGTAAGATTTTTATAAAGAATCGAATTATTTTTTACATGAAAATATAATTCTGAAAATTATATTCAGGCACTACAGCTACCTAAAATATCATCCTTTTATGTGACTTTTTAAATACATCTTGAATGTTAAATATGCAGATTAAAAGCTGACTTTACCATTAAAAGGTCATTTAATCTATTTTGCCTGAAACAGAATTGATACATAACTGAATGATTGAAACTCTGCCTGAAGAACTAAAAAACTTTTTCTCTCTACATCAGTGACTTTTTCTGGAAAATGTTGACCTCTTTTATATTTGCCATTTAATTTTATATGCACTATGATTTGCTCCTGTTTCTGTGTTGGGCCCACAGTTGCAACTGATTTAGTAGAGAAGACTGGAATAATTTGAGAATTTAATTGAGATACAAAAGATTTCTAGATTAGGATCTGGAAAGCAGGGTTCGGAAGTACTTAAAAAATCCAGTAATTTTTTTCCTAAAAGCCTATCCATATTAGAAGTTTAGAACTCTCTTACTACAGGACTTCACAATTTTTTTTCACAAAATTAAGACCAGTGTACTAAAATGTTTATTTAATCAAAACTCTTGTTAAAAATTTTAGTCTTTCATTTTCTCTTATAAATTGATAACCTTGTCAGAATCTGACTGTTTTCAGCAGATTTTGTTCATTGCTCATGATTCTTTGTTTTTAAAAGAAGTCAATTCTGGTTTTGATATGAATGTTATCAAACAGACAGGCAGATTGTGTCCCACATGGAACCCTTATATGGATTGATTGGTGCACACTATTGCCTGGAGACTTAGGTTGCGCATATTGCTCTGAACCATCAGGTCTGTGCTGGTAGGCCCATATGCCTTCATGGAGCCCCATTGTATATGGGTTCCACGTGGGACACAGTCTGACAGCCTGTATAAGATTGCAGGATCAGGTCTGTTTACACAAATTTAAGAACATAATTCTTTTCTATAACAATTTTTCCCTTGAAGTTACAGCTAGGTAGCCTAGAGCTCGCACTGCGTCAGCTGGGCAGAGTTAAACACATGAGTGCCAAGTGGTCTAATATAATTTTAGTTACCAAGATTCCTCAGGGTGAGGTTCTAACATAGTGTAATTTTCCAATGTTGACAATGCAAGAGAGAAGCCTCCTTGCATTTTCAATTTTCTTGGCCATCTCTGAAGATTTGATCGGTACAGAGCAACTCCTCATATTCTTTTGTTTCAAGATGAAAATTTCTGAAAAGTTTCTGAAACAGTGAAGAAGGTCTCCTTTGGTAGTCAGTATTGAGTAAATGCCCATAAAATTAGAAAAGCAAAATAGAAAACTGTAACATAAGGTATGCTTCCTGAGTGCCCCAACAGAGGGGGAGAGCAGGGTTTGAGGACCTTCCTCTCCCCCTGCTGACATTACCAGCATCTTGTAGTGGGTAGGACCTGGTGGGAAAAGCTGTTGGAATCTAGCACTAGTCACTAATGGGAATTCATATATACACACCCTTTGAAACTGAGTAGTGGTGAGTTTCAGAAAATCTCATTGCTACTAGTTACGTACTAATAAATCAAATCAGGCACTAGTGTAATTATTCTCCTTTGAGTGATTGCACATGTGCATTCCACTCTTGGTGTCTGTGCACTCAGTGCTTCCCCTGCTACCATGCACCACTGTGTGCGGATATAAATGGTAGAGACGCCCCTACCCCACTCAGTTCCTTCTTACCACCCGTAAGGTGGGACCCTGTTCAGCACCAGAACAATATTCTCTCTCCGCTTTTGTGTACAATAGTGTACGTAATACTATTTGTTCTAGTTATTAGTATAATTCAGTTGTGTTCCCGGCCAATGGGAGGTGCGGGGGCAGTGCGCAGAAACATGAAAAATGTAGTCTAAAAAAAAAAAATTCCAAGTTTCATTTTGCTCCATGTGCATCAAATAGATAACTGTAGGGGATCTAATACAACTGGAAACAACTTCCAGTATGCCACATATCCCACTTCATATTTGTTATCAAAACACTAAAAGTGGATCACTTTTTCTGTTAGTTTTCATCTGAATTTCTTATTCTTAATGTTGCTTTACAGTAAGCCTTGTAATCAGTGTACACCGGAGTACAGCAAAGCCTAGAGCGCAGTACCTGTTGCAGGAGTAACTTAATCTTATTGTTTAGTAGATCTGGTCTGGACTGGCTCTTCACAGTCTTAGCCAATTTCTTTCTTGGCACCAAAATGGACCTGTTCTTCTTCGAGTGCTTGCTCATATCAATTCCAGTTAGGTGTGCGCGCGCGCTGCATGCACAGAAGTCGGAAAACTTTTCCCTAGCAGCTACCTGTCGGGCCGGCTGTGGAGCCCCCTGGAGTGGCGCCGATATGGCGCTCTATATAAGGCCCTGCCAGCCCGATCCCCCTTCAATTCCATCTTACCGCCCATGACCGTTGTTGGAACAGTGGTCTCTTGCTAGCAAGTGCTCCACTACTCCCTAGCATTCTCTTATCGTTGTAAATAGTTTCCTTTGTTAGCTAATCATTAGTAGTTATCTTAGATTAAGTGTAGTGGTTGGGGGGGTTTTCCCCTTCAACGAGTGCCCTGCGGGGCTCTGGGGCATGCTCTCCCAGGGCTTCAAACCCTGCAGTTCTTGCGGCAAGCCCATGCCTACGGGCGACCCCCATGACTCCTGCCTTAGGTGTCTGGGGGAGACTCATCAGGCGGACAAAATCAAAGGAGGCGAAACACATGGACCTCTTTAGTAGTAAAATTTATTCTACGGAGGGCCTCTCAGTTTGAATCGCAAACCAGCTTGTGGTTCTCAGCAGATACAGTTATAACTTGTGGTCTGCGATCCTTAAGTTCCAGGAACTCCTCCCATGTAAGTCCTGCATGGAACTGGGGGCCATCGCTGAGGAGGGCAAGCTGGTAGCCTGAACCTCCCTCCAGGGCTCCCTTGACGCCACGAACGCGGCAGCTCACACCTTGGCCTCCGGCATCGCCATGCGTTGGAATGCATGGCTCCAGTCATCCGGCCTCCCACCTGAAGTGCAACACATCATTTAGTATCTTCCATTTGACAGCCAGGGCCTGTTCACTGAGCAAACTGACTCTCGTCTGCATACCCTGAAAGACACAAGGAACACCATAAAATCCTTGGGCATGTATACCCTGGCCACTCAATGCCGTTTAAGCCTCAGCCCCTGCAACAGCGCCCCTTCCTGCCTAGACCTAGGCAGGACTTCTCCCGTAGGTGAAGCAGGTACCCATGGTGTAGACCATCACGCCCTCCTTCGGGACAGAGCCAGGGCCAATCCAACCACCGCCCCCCCCCCCCCCCCCCCCCGGGCCCTAAGCGCCCATTTTGAAGGTGTGCTCGAGGACGGACTACCAATGCAAAACCCAGCCAGCTATCCCTTCCTGAACCATCTATCCCGTTTCTACCGTGCTGGGTCCCTTATTACATTGGACCATTGGGTCCTTCGCATGATAGAGGCGGGATATTCTATCCACTTCCGGTCTATCCCACCCTCCTTCCCCGTCCCTCTTCAGGGACCCTTCTCACGAGCAACTTCTCATCCAGGAGGTACAGGCAATCCTCGCCCTAGGAGCAGTGGAGGAAGTGCCTCAATTGCTCAGGGGCAAGGGTTTCTACTCGCGCTACTTCCTCGTTCCCAAGGCAAAAGGAAGCTTAAGGCCCATTCTGGACCTCAGGGAGCTCAACAA